TTATTGCTCCCCCAACCTGCAGCGATATATTGCTGGTTTGTCAGAAGCCTGTATTTTTCCCTGCTTGCAAATCCTCTTCTGAGACACATCACTTGTATCATAAAATATGTCCAAAATATTTGAGCTAACTACCATCCACCCTTCTCCTGATAGGGAGCGATTTTTTTCCCAATGTGCATCTTCTCAGTTTTGGAATTCTGCTTGTCTCTAAATCTACCAACAACTTTACATGTTCTTAGGCCTATGTTGGCACTTCACACCCAATATGGCAAGGGAAAAAAAAGAGCAAAAGTATGACATAAATGTCCATCCTGAGAAATGTTGCTCTTACAGAAAAACAATGTCTCACTTTGGGACAACTAATAGCAGCTGTGAATATTTTCAATGTGCAAAGATGTACTGGGACAGTAAGGTCATTTTAAGGCACCACATTTGAGTGAAGTCTTCTGCTGGCATTATATGGTACATCTCCACTGACTTCAAAGGAGCTATGCTAATATGCAGCAACTGAGGTTCTGCTGCATATTTTTAAATGAGAAAAGGAGTTGAAGGGGGAAGACAGTTGTCCTTTTTATTTTAAATTTAAAGTGTATATTCTTTGAGTTTAGATAGATATCACAATGAAGTCCCAATGTGTTTGACATGCAGAGGTGATAATGCATAATAAGTTAAACAAAAGTTATGGGGAAGGCTATCCATGTGCAATCTTAATTCTGCTTCCTTGGGTCTATGCCAGGCGTGGGCCACCTGCCCACTCCAACTTGTGCCCCCAGTGGTGGGTGTGGGGTAGATAGGCCAAGGTGCCTGGGCAGTGGGACTGGGACTGGCAGTGCCAACACTGGCAACAGCAGCAGCAACTGGAAGGAGCCACCACTGGTGCTGGGGCTGCCAGGAAATGGAGTGTGGCCACCATGCTGGACCAGCTCTGCTGCGTGCCTGGGGGTAACTGGACTGGCTGCATGCATTATGGCCCAGGCTGCCCCATGGACCTGGGCCACATGGGGCTGAAGGACCCACTGCGGGCTGGATAAAATCCCTTGGTGGGCTAACAGCCCACAGCCATATTTTGCCCACCCTTGGTTTAGGCAATATGTTTTTAAATATGTGATCTCAGATTGATGCTACTCATGGATATGAATCAGGCCATACAGTAAATAAGGCTATTGTCTGTAGAGCCTCCATTTCATTCATGGCAGAAGTTGGAATGTGTGTAGTTCATGAAGCAATTTGAGAGGGTATGATCTCATTGTTGAGTCAGATATATGATGTCCTAGGGAAATGGAGTCTATTTCTTCCCATGCCACAGAGATTCCTTTTGAAGCTGGACAAGTGACTTAACCCACTTTTTTTACAGGTAGCCAACAACTGTGTGTTTCTCATTTTCTGGGTGTCCAATTTGTTGAATATTCACAGCTGCATCTGAAGTCAACGGGACCTGTGCTTTAAATACAGAACATGTGGAGTGCTATAAATTGTAAAATAAATAAAAAAATAAATCTGACAGAGACCTAGTATGGAAAATTTCATCCCAAATGGTTACTTTCACAAAGTTATATACAAAGGAAAGGAAAGTCTTATAATGGGAAATTGAAACTAACATCAATTATAGATGGTTCTACCAGTACTGTCTATCATGATGATCATCAAATGTGAAAATTAAATGGCATGTGTGTATTTTTTTCAGTTTAAATAATCTGATGTACTTGTAATGATAATGTCCCTGTCCCTTTAAAAAGCTTAACGTGAGGGAACATGAAATGCACAGATGTTTGAGAAGTCCCTGAAATAAACTTTAACTCACTTCCAGAGCTATTGAACCTGCTCTTAAAGTTGGATCGCCAGTTTTCTTACACAATTTTAAGACTCATATCTCAAAATATAAGTCATTGTTGATACTGTTTCTCTCTCTCCCCTTCTTTTCTGACACTTCCTATACACATAATATTGGCAGATCAAAAGAGGGATGACCACTTCAACGCCATTTTTTTGAGGTAATGGAAATTCAAGCACTCAGGCACAGATTCTCAATGGACTCCCTGACATTTCTGACAGAAGGCACAAGTTTGCAGTAATTCTCATTTGCTTTTGTCAAGAGCCATCAGCCCTGAATGTGTAAGGCTCGCTACTTGCAGTTTTCATTTTCTAGACGTTGCAAACTATGGGATCTGACTTTAAAAACTTGGTTCTTCTAGCCTTATTAAAACATTGGCCTCATGTAGAAGGCAAGTAGGTTGCCTGGTGGCATTTCTGTATACATCATTACAATTAGTCAATGTTTGTAAATAGCATGCAGTTTCCCACATACTAGTCCAAACTACATCTTGTACTTTGGGAGCATTTTGAGCAGTCTTTCAGCTGCTTGTGAATTTCCTATGGTTTAAAGTGTGGTAGACAATCCAACCAATTCTAGCAGAACGTTCCAATTTAGTATTTTATTGCAGTTTAGCCACAGCACTCTGAATCAGCACTCTAGAAATTATTCTTCCCCAGATGCAGAAAAGCCTCCCGGCCACTAGTCATTAAAACCAGTTTTTTACTGCATTAAGTGCTGTACTTTGCATAATAACATTGCCAGCCACCAGGTGTTTGAATTACATTCAAATATTTTCCCTACAGTAATGGTGTGTTTCCAGAATGTACTTGCATAGATCTGATACATTTCTATTGGACTTGCTGAAGGGTTTAGGCTCTGACACAGTGTTCTAGTTAACTGTTTACATTGCACAGGTCACCTGTTTATATGATCTAAATGGTCTGAGTGAAACACCAGACATAGGTTAAGAGTTGTTCCTAATGAAGTTGGATTGATGGGAAAAGAATTTTTCAAATGTTTTGGGCCATATTGCCAGCTGCAGTTCCAATCTCTGACTTAATATCATGCATGTTTTTATTCCAGCATAACCCTAAAGAAAATACAGTTTCATTTATGGCTTCCTCTATTTCCTCCTTAGCTCGTGATTTGACTTTTAGGAATTTTCAGTGTTTTGTAACAGAAGGAATGGAATTTGCTTAGTGAATGTGATATACTTATGTTTTATCAGTCTGTGTTAAGATTTTTGTTGTTGTTGTTTGTATCACAACTGTGAGGAAAAAGAGGTATTTTTGCACATTTTAGCCATAACTGGTGAGCTCTGGGTTTTGTGATAGATAGATAGATAGATAGAGTGCAATCCACCATACAGAGATAACTAAAAGCTGCTAAAATTAAAAGATCTTGGTACAAAAATTTAAGTATGTTAACTGTAATCTTTGGGCTGAAATTGGTAAAAGTAGTACACTTTTGGAAACTTTACTGAAGGGTAAATTAAACTTGGATTTAGTGAATTTTATTCAAAATGTGTGCAGGCTGATGGCCTAAGGGCCATTGCACTTTGAACTGTTCAGAGGTTGATCCGTTTTAGTGCTAGCTTGAATTTGGAGCAACCACACCTTAAGGCTAAAAACCTTCTGTGTCTCCCACCTGTACAGCTGAGACTTGCCACTAGAAGGCCAGTGAGCAAGGACCCGACTAGGAGTTACAGCTGTAAGTTGCCAGTCCAGGGCTGGTGAGGCAGGATAAGCCAGTATCCCTGCTGTGGGTCGGGGGGTGTGAGAGATGGGTTGGAGAAGAAAGTGGAAACGTGAAGTTGGGAAGTGGAGAGTTAATGGGATGGGGATGAGTAATGAAATGGAAGGTGGAAAGGAAATGGGGGTAGAGGAAGAGTGATGAAATGAAGTCAGTCACTGAAGAATAAAATATAAAGGAGTATAACTTTTTTTAAAGAAATAAAGAAAAAGTAAATTAAATAAAGTCTCATATTTTAATAGATTGGGATTTGGGATTGGAGTGTGGGGGCTGTTGGATCTACTTTCTGGGGTGGCTGACAGTTGGGAGCAGTGAGGGAAGGCGCTTTTGGGAGAGGTACTGCCCGTGTCTTCTCCCCTCCCTCCTCCCTGCATTCTCCCCTGCCCCCAGAGGCAGTGGTGAGCTGTCATCAAGTGTGCTGAGCACTGAGGCAACACTAGTTAACTGTCCATCCTGCTTTTCCTCCCTCCACGTTTGGACTGTTCAGATGTTACATTTGCCACTACAAAACCAAGTGCTACAGAGAAGTTCTTGTGTCATCCAGAAGCATTTCTTTAGCCTTTCCACCATTTTCGTAGCCCTACAGGGGGCATATATGTCTGTCCTCTCAGTTTTTATTTTTATTTTTGTAGTGCAGCAAAAGCCATTTGTAGCACTACAAATGCAATGTTTGTCCATGGCCTTTTACACATGTGAATAGCTTCCTGGACTTCCACTGGGACTACTGGCTTGAGTAAAATCTACCAGGACTGAGATCATAATTTTTATGTATTTTAGTATTATTTTTCTCTTTTCCATAAATTCCTTCACCTTATGTTGTAAAAATATCTTACCACTGCATCCTTTGTGCTATAACAATTAATACAATGGTTTGTTTCATAGTGGTATATGCAAACCTCAAGAGATGTGTAGATTTATTACAAACTGGAAATAGAAAAGACCTACTGGGTCTGCAAGTGTTTTCTTCAGCAAGTGCTAGATTGTGCCTTCATTTACTTTAGATTGAAAGTTCATTGTCTTGTCTTTTCTTAAATGACTCTAGAGATTGCATTCTCATTATTTTCCTGGCAAAACTATTCAGTACACCAACAAATCTCACTCTTTGGAAATATTCCTCAATCTTCAGCCTTTTAATTTTCCAATTAAGGTTCAAATAATTTGACCTTGGTGGCCAATCCAATAGGCAGTGGGAGGGGAGCGGGGGAGGGACATTAATAAATGGATATACAAAATAGTAAGACCATAGTAACCTCTAAGTTTTCTTTGTAGCTTCTGTAGGTGATTTATATTAGAAAATAAATACATGGAATCAAAAGAGATTAACACAGTATATACAATGAAATTGAAAAAAATCAGTGACTGTGTATTTTCTAGTTGAAATAGTAAATGATCAACTAGCAAACCTAATTTTTGGTACTGTCTTTGCCTTCCTAAGGTTCCCAGTCTGAGCCACCATCCTGCAGTGCCAGTTCCATCACTTGCCCATCTGCTTGCACCTGTAGCAACAATGTTGTGGACTGTCGAGGAAAAGGCTTAACAGAAATTCCTGCTAACCTACCAGAGGATATTTGGGAAATGTAAGTGTCAGCATCAAATTATCATTCTCATCTGTGATATTCCAAATCTAATTGTTTTCACAGTCTCACTTTATGGAAGTGAGCCAGAGTTTTTTTGAGCCCCTTCAGTTGATAACTATGGTCATTTGCGGGCTACATGGCTGTTGTCTCCATACTTTTGGGAGGGGTGTTTGGTCTTATGACTGAAGCCATTCTTAAAAACAAAATGAGATAATCTGCAGCAAGCTCTGGCCTGAGAACTAGATCAAGTTCTCAGCAAATTCATTTCAAATTGTATTTTCACTTTCAGAAACCAGGGCTTGGGTCATATACCTAGAGACATGTATATTTTCCAGTAGAGGAAAATATATCTTGTATTTCTCGTAACCGGATTGTTTTCACTCTGAGCTACCTTGGTGATTTTCCCTAGAGACTGGGAGCTTTTCATGTTAGGCAGGCAGAATGCCCAGGTAGTGGGGGTCTCTTGCTGAAGACTGACATTGAACAGATTGTTCCCAATTATTTCCCCCTCTTTTCTCTTCCATTTCATCAATCCCAGATCTTAACACTTAGCTGAATGCTTTTTCATGTCACCATTTCAGATATTAGTCTAACTGATTTACTTGTCTTTACTAGTTTTATCTGATGCAGTTGTCTACTTTTGTGTCTACAGTTTTATAGGAAGGTGTACAATCTACCACAGTTATGAATAGTGTGACATGAAACTAAATTGCTTTTGGTTGTTCCACAGGGAATGGTGAGCAATTGTTTTCCTCCTGAGGTGGTTATACTGCAGATAGTATCCTTCTTGCAACCAGCTTTAAGAGCCTAAAGATTATGAATTCAATTGTATCCATGTAGTAACTGGACCAATTTAGCTTTTCACTGCTGCAGAAATATTGCTGGACTGCAAGATTCATTGGGATAAAGCTCAAGCACATCTCTCATTACTAGGCAGGCCTGTTGTGATTTAGTATCTCACTGCCAAGAGTTTGACTGAGAGTTGCATCTAAGCTAAAATGCCAGGATCACAGGTTTCATTGGTGATTTGTTCCATGTGGCACTTGTTTAATGGCTTCATCAAAACTTTTGTGATTACTATCCCAGAGTAGTTTTCTGAAGGAGTTCCCTGTGCTTGATTGAATAAGTTTCTACTTTTTGCTCAGATTTTACAATTATATAAAAAAGTTATACTTAAAACATTAAAGTTTGCTGAACAGAAGTTAGATATAAACACTGCCTTAAAATAGTACTAGCCAAGGTACCTGGGGCATGTAGAATATTTACAGGAAATGTAAAAATAGTCACACGCTTGACCTCACTTGTAAAAACACGGGGTGCTTCCCTGCTTTCTGTCAAAATATAGGCATAAACATCCTTATGTTGGGCTCAGGGGTGGACTGTCCCCGGTAGGTAGGGGAGGTGGAATGAATTTCCCTCTGCTGGTCCCATGCTTTGGAATGAGTTTATAGCAGCTAGATGGTTGCCAAGGCCATTACTAAGCTACATATATGTTCTCTTCCTTCCCTCCCCCCCACCTCAAATTAATAAGTTACCTGTCCATTCCTGGTTGAATTTGTAATATTTTATATTACATGTCACCTGGGCACAGGCAGATATTTAGAAATTTTCTACCCTTGGAAGTGATAGTGTAAGTTATAGCTAACATTTATTTTTAAGAAAAAAATTTGTAGTAGGAAGTAACGAAAGGTTGAAAACAGAAGGAGAAATTTGTTTGTAATGCAACTTGCCATGTTGTTTAGCAGTCAGGATTTGGAGGTGGTGGGGGGAGACTTGTTTGGGACCTGCTGCTTCAGGTTTGTGGTGTGGGAGAGGATGTTCAGATTTCTGTTAATATGAAAAGTGACAAGGAGCCAGGAGAAATTTTATTAAACAAATTTGGTAAGAATCTATTGCCAATATCTGCAAAAGCCAGAAGGGTGTGTATTTTGGAAATTCTGGTGAAGGAAATTACTCTTCCTTACAGTTAGAGGAGCATACTCAAAAGTTTGAAAGCCTTTAGTGGAGGTGCTGGGTACATACTTACTAGCCTAATTTTGGTGTGCTCACATTTTTTAAATTCTGACCTGTAAGTTTAGATTCTGGATTTTTGTATGCATTTTGTTATCTGTCCTTGCCTTTTCCCTCTCTCTCACTCTCAAAGTGGTTTACTTGACATTACAATGGATTTTTAAAGGAATTTTGGAACAGTCTAGTTGGTAAGAGAGCAAATTATATTCATACACAAAATTTCATCTTCTTGAGGATTTTTCAATATTTCACTTCTTGATGGGTCTAGGGAATGAGCAAGTGTCAGGAGTAGGAAAATATTAGGGAGGAATGCCTTCTTCATTTTATATTTGCCTTAAGGTTATTCAAGTAGGAGTTCTTATAGCAACTCTGTCTGTCATGGTATGTGGCATTATGTGCTGGTATAGAAGGATGGTACGTCTTTGTGAGGCAGAAATGGGATTGGTAAAAAGGGTGATGAATGAGTTTAGATGCCTGAGATCTGAACTTTCATATCAAGGGGAAATGTAATCTTCTGGAAGAACAGAAGACACCCATGGGGACACGCATACAGCTAAAGAAGAATACTCTTTTGTTAGTACTACACACAAGCATAGAATGGTGGGGTGGGGGGATTCCCCGTGTGCCTGGCGGTGGACCCAGAAGTGGACCAGAAGTACTTCTGGTCCACTTCTGGGTTTGCTGCTGATCACACCGGGGGTGGGGAGGGAGGGAGGGAGGCACGCTCCTATGGGATGTTCCATCTGCCCCAGCATCGCAGGGTTCACAAGCTGCACCTGGTACATTGAGGTATGTAGAAAAAATATTTAAAGCTGTGCTTATGCCCAAGTCGCTGATTCTCTGAATCAGAATCGATTATTCAGATTCAGATTCCGCCGATTTGAATCAGGACAGTGATCTGAATCAACAAATCAAATCTCTGTCCCTGATTTCGGCCAAATCCGAATCGAATATGGTCTGTTTTGCACACCCCTAATGTCAGTTAATATGGAGCATTGTCCAGCTGAAATCTCCCAGCTGTCTTTACTGCTTCAATTAAATTCCTCATGGATTTTTTTTCTATAACATGTCTTCATTGGGACCAAAAATCATCACTTTCAAAATTATTAATCTTTTGAATTTCAGTGGTTTTCACAGCCCTGCTAGTCTTACCACCAAGATGTTAACTGAATTGCCACTAAAGGCACAGTTTTAGCTACATAAGTAGATAGCTAAATAGATATAATTATTTGACCAATATGCTTTTGCTTGTTGTAGTTGGAAATTGAACTGGTATGATGGCAGCTAGCGCATTAAGAGGAAATGATTTTGAAGTTGTCTTGGGTCCTATAACCTTTTGAGAAATACATGAGGGCAATAACTGAGACTATGGAGCAATTGTGTCCTTTGACAGCACCATGAGGACCAGTCCAGCCAGATTCACTGAGGCAGTATATAGGCTACTAAATCTTTGGTATGGGCACGCATGCATTTTTAGCCACTTTAAAAGGGGAGAGCTGCAGCTTGGGAGTGTGCATCAACTGTTATGCTGTAACTGTTAAATTGGTATAGTCCTGAAATGGTGCAAGTTAGGTAAATCCCACTAACTTTAATCCTGAATGAAGCAGGGTTAAAGCTAGGGGGGAGGGGTTTCTATACTAGTGCCGCTACAAAATCATGTGGATGGAACAGTTGCATCCTGTGCCTTGCAAGGCAACCTGGAATATGAAACATGCCTTGTTTCTGGCAGTATTCTTCATTCAAGGATTTCATAGGACCTTAAAAACATTCAGAGTCTAGTACTTCTCCCCTTCAGTCGTGGGAATTTGCCTTATCTTTTTTTAGGCGTAGCATCATTGCCTCCTAAGTAATTATATTTTTTTTCACCAAGAGATCAAGAAAGTCACATTTTAAGTTAGTAGCAAGGCTAAAACCTGATCCCATGATTCTCAGGAGCCTGCTCTAGCAATAACCAGTACCAAGCCAGGGCAGACAGGATGAGGAATGGGATATTGTAGAAATATAGCAGATATGAGTTTAGCAGATCTGGGGGGTTGGCTTTGCCTACTCTACTTTTGTCTTAGGATGGTCATGTGTGTCTGTATCTCTTTCTTATTTTTGGTAGACTTGGGAGCATCACAGTGTCCACATGAAGTTCTGTTGCACCTGCAGTGAGTGCAGGCACACATGGTTTGAGTTTGAAAAGTAAAGATTAAGACAAACTTTTTTAAAGTGCCTAAATTGCTCTCAGGCTTAGTCTCCTAATTGTTACTTAGATGTCATTGGAAATCTTACCAAAATTTGAAAGGGAACTCCACTTCAGTTGGGATTATAAAGTTCACATGTATGCCAGTGAAACCCTGGACAGTGTCCTGTTAGATATAGGTATAATAAGTGAACAACTCTAAGGAGACAGCAGAAGTCTTTTTAAAGAAATAACAGCGTGCTTTTTATAATGTTATAATGTGGGTTTGCAATCCTGCATTCTTCTAATTTCTCCTTCCCCACAAGGACTAATGCCTTTACTTGCTGCAAAAATGAAATATGTGAGTACTCTCCGGGTATGTACAGCCGTTACAGTTAGATTGACTTACCCAGGGTTAGGCTGATATAAATACCCAAATGTGCAGGCCTTCAGAGAACTTAAATCACTCAAAAATGTTTTGCCCAATCTAAGTTTGTTTACCTGAGGAGGTGCACTAACTGAGATCAAGCCTGGGTTAACCTTATCTAGGAAAAGGTTAACCCAATCTAGAGAATGCTTGTATGCCTTCACAGTACAGCATCAGGACTGGGAAAGCCCTGTCACTTGCCCCAGCCCCAGGGCTGTGCTCTTCCCTACTCTCTCCTTTCTCCTGACCAAGTCTGGGCTATTTTTAGCCCCCTGGATCCTCCCCTGACTGGGAATCCCTCCCCACCCCCCACAAATCCACTAGCCTCCCCACTCCCTCAGTTACTTGCACTGGTTTCTCCGCACAGCTTCTGGGAGTTGCAAACAGCTGTACACACCC